GGGGGTGGTCCTCGGGCCGAGCGCGCGCCGCCCTCCGCGGGGCTGCCCTTCCCCGGGGCTGCCTCCTCCGGGCGGCCCGCGGCGGACACCGGCGGTCGTCCCCAGTGACACCTCGGTTCCGCGCCGGCAGGGCACTCACACCACCTCAGAGGGCCGTTTTACGCACTTGTTTACTGCGTTTCTGCACGAGAAGGGAAACTCCATGAGGACAGGACCTGGCCGTTTGTCTGCCGGTGCCCAGCACACTCTAGGAGCCCGATCAACGTCTGTGGGATGAATGAGTGGAAGCGCCCCCGCAGCTGTGATGGGACAGGGCTCTGCTTGTCTTCTGCTGGCCTCCTGGTGCCCGTGGCCCACTTCTGTGAGGCTGGGGGCGTGCGGGGGGCCCCCGGGGGCCGAGGTCCTTTCCCGCCCAGAGCAGCCTGGACCTGGAGCCAGGGGAAGCCCAGTGCGCCCCGTGTGCTGGTGGCAAGCCAGGGTCCTGTGTAAAGTGCAGCTTTCGACTTTTTATGGTTTTTTTCCCCTCCCCTGCCTTCCCCACTGAAGTACAAGTGTCATGGGGCAGTGGGGACCACGTAGACTTTCCCAGTCCTTCTTTTAGGACGTGTTGAGTAGCCGTGTACTAGGTATGTGCTTGGCACTGGAGAGACAAAGAATGAACAAGAGACCAGTCCCCTGGCATCATGGAGCTTCCCTTCTCGTGGGGAGGGGGGGGGGAGCAAATCAGCAAACAAGAATATTTCAGGTAGTGGTAAGTTCAGTGAAGGAAATACAGCAGGTGATGTGATGAGAGTTTACTTTATGTCTGATGGCCAGGTCACCAGGGACCGCCAGCACTTGGCCCTCCATAGGTGCTCAGTAGGTATCTGTGGAATGAATGCTGGCCAGAGACACCCTAGTTTATATGGACTGGCAGGAGGTAGTATAGGGTAACTTACCCAAAGTTACGCAGTTGGCACGTGGCACATTTGAACTCAGACTTCAGGGCTCACACTCTTTAACAGTTATGCTATCTGACCCCTGAGGAATACTCCAGAACTGTGGCTGCCACTTTGCCTCCCAAGATAACAATCTGAAATGCCTCCACATGGTATAAAGAACCAAAGGTTTTCCAGTTAAAATGAAAATAAAACAAAAACAAGAAACCCCACAAACCTAACCTGGATTGTAGTTCTCTGACAGTACTTTGGCTTGGGTGATGTTCTCATGGCCTTCTCCTGGAGCAGCCAGCCTGGGAAAGGAATCCAAGTAGCGAAAGTGAAGGTGGAGGGTGATGGTTTGCGCTCGAATTGTCCGAAGTTCTCTACCCCAGAAGCATGGTTGAGCTACTCCTGAGTACTGGCACATTCATTCATTTAGTTCACAAACATTTACTGAGTGTCTGCTCCACATGTCAGATACCAGGGAAGACGAATTACATTCTCCTTCAACACCCCACCCCAGAACTTAAGTCTAGGGAAGGGGGCAGATGACAGAATCATCCAGGACGGTGCCATGATAGAAGGTAATCACAGTGCTCCAAGAGCAGTAAGGAGGTCACCTCCTGAAAAATATGTCATTTGAGCTGAGTTTAAAGGTCAGGTGGAAGCAGACTAAAAGAAGAAATGGGTGGGGAGCATGTCAGGCAGAGGAAATCCCACGTATAGAGGCAAAAAGACTGAGATGATTGGGCCCCTTTGGGATGCCACTAGGAGTTCGGAATGACAGCAGCAAAGAGCATTTGTTGGGGTTGCAAGGCAAGGTAGGAGATGAGGCTAGCTAGCAGGTAGGAGTAAGATCAAGGCCTTCTGTGCACAGACACAACCAATATCCAAGTTCAGATTGTGTTGCTTTTCCTTAGCTAGTCCTTCCTCCATTGATTCCCATCCCCCCACCTGCCTCCCAGTACATACACTCCTCTAATGTTATGTTATGGAAAGAGGTCCTGATTGGAGAAAATTAAAGTTTTTGTACCAGTTCTTTCATGTAAAGATGTTTGACCTTGGGCTGGCAGCTTCACTCCTCAACGTCAGGTCATTCTTCAGTCCATGGGGATGGAACCCTTGCCTCCTGTAGAAAGTTTTGTTGTTGCTTAGGAGTAGATATTATGGCTGTTCAGCAGCTTTGTAAACACACAATATTATACAGATATTGGAGGTTGTATTTAGACAACTGGTTTCATCATTTCAGCTTCTTTACCTGAAAGGTAAAGCAGAGAACAGTGATCTTTCTGGCCCTGGGTTGGCCAAAGTAATGACGGCCAAAGTCACGGGATATTTTTACTAGGGAAGTGGTCCAAGAGAAGTCATGGTGTCAAATTGTTGAAGGCTGTTGGCTCATGACTTCAGAAGAGGCCTCTGTAGGCATGTGTAAACTAGTTTATGAGATTGGTTTATTTGTCTTAAGCTGAGCACTAAGACAAATTAGAATAGAGGCTCAGTACTCTGGTTTGCTGTATAGAGTTCATTCATTTCAGGATGAGAACTGCCACATTTAACTGATCTCTTCCAAGTTACTCAGGGTGATGACTCTGACTTCAGGTGGTTCACTTAGATGAATCAAACCTGCAAGCTAACTTAATAAGAAGGCAATAATTAAAATGCCTAAAACAACACAACTTAGCATCCAAAGGAAAAAAGTTAATTATCTTTTAATGGAAAAAAAGAAGCATCTTTTAAATGCAGTTTAAGATGATATGGGATTAGGGGCACCTGGGTGGCTCAGTCGTTAAGCGTTTGCCTTCGGCTCAGGTCATGATACCGGAGTCCTGGGATCGAGCCCTGCGTCCGGCTCACTGCTTGGCAGGAAGCCTGCTTCTCTCCCTCTCCCACTCCCCCTGCTTGTGTTCCCTCTCTTGCTGTGTCTCTGTCAAATAAATAAAATCTTTTAAAAAAAAAAAAGATGATATGGGATTATATATGTTGGATTCTTTTTCATCTTGGGCATTTTTTGTGATTATGTTGAAGTTAAAGATACCACTGAGGAAAAGGGAACGCAGACTTATGTGACTTTGTTCGGACTGCTAGAAAGTGCCAGGCTGCATTGTGTTAAGAATCAGAAAAGAAGCATGACACTGTGACGTTTTCCCTGGTGAAATAGTATGAGCTCTTCCGGGGGCGGGGTGGGTAACGTTTCTGAAAGAGTTAAAGTTCTTTGGAAACCTGTGAAAAGTGCTTTCTGTTGTTACTCTTTCTGTTGATCTGAGGTCTTTCAAGGCCAACTCTTCCTTTCCCTTGCATTTCCTGACCCTGAGGCCCCACTTGTTGCCCAGCTCAAAGACAGCTTTCTGAGTGAGTCACTTTGTGTCTGTTCTTTTCTTTCTCCTCTCTCTCTACTCCTATCAGATTCCATCTGTGGTAAATAGTATGTCTTGTGTTTTTTTTGGTCATTGTTCAAGAGTTCAAGACTCTTAATCATTCTTCACATCCTAGCACCCGCTCCCCCCCATGAAGCAGTCACGTGAGAGTGGGCTGTTAACTGTCCTCATGAGCTGATTAGTTGAGGTTTAAACCCACTGTGGACCTTTGCTTTATTCTGAGACGAACCCAGTGGCCTTCAGGACATCTCGCTGTTGGTCAGTAGGGATGACACCGATAGATTGGTGTGGTTGATGACCGCTTTGGGGAGAAAATAGGAACCTGGGTGCTGTAGATGGAGGATAGGTTAGTGACACTGTCTTTTGTGTGAGGAGAGCATGCTTAGAATCATTAGTTCACCCCCTTAAGTTAATGTGTAATTTAATATTGTTTAGGAAGCTAAAAATTATAAAACCCTGTAGATATAGTCCGTTAGATGCAGTAATTATCTTTCAGATGCTAAGTACAGCATTAATTCTTTAGCTTTAGTATAGCACTGATTTCCTTAACATTTCATGATCACATAGAACAGACTGTGTTTTACAGCACAACAAAATGTCAGCAGTGTGCTTAAGATTCTTTATGGTGGTGGTTTAAATCCATCCTGAATAGATTATCTTCATTTATTTAATTATTAACCAGCTTGCTCATCAAAAGCAAGTGGCATTAAACTTACTAAGCTTTAGTCAAACTTAAATCTTCTTAGATTGTACTATTTACTTCTGAGTTTATGTTCCTGGGAGAAAAATGTGAATCAGAAGTTAACTTTCTTTTATTCACTTACTTACTTCTCTTCTTCATGGTTAACTCCTTAGGGGGAGAAATGGATCCACTTGGCCATGTGCTTATATCTGGAAAGTGGTGACAGCTCCTTGACGAGTATGGTTGTGACATGTACCATAGTTCTCTTCATGATTGCTTGGTAGCTTGGCATCTGTGTATGGCTTTATTAAAATAATTACTCTGAATGGATGCTCATCAAAGAGGTGAACTCTTAAATATTATTAACACTGTCCTTTATTTATTAAAATTATATAGCATTCTTTTTTCCAGTTCTGAGGACAAAATACTGAGAACTTTGACCTGCAGTACCAACCATTTGGTAGTTGAAAATTAGGGGAGGAGTCAAGGGAGTAAACTGTTCTGGTTATCACTTAAGTATTACCCTTAGGCTCAAATTTTAAAACCTGAAGCTTGAATTTTTACATAAGGAATTACCTCCAAGATTGCTTCATCCATCCCCCATTTGTATTTGAAAAATTTGCCATCTGAAGGATGACCATGATTTGGAACAAATGAGCACAGCTTTCAGCAAGATGACAAGAAAGACCAACACAAAGAGTGCTGGGTTCCATTAGTCAAGACAAGGTTGCCATAGAGTGTCTTTAATAAAATAAAATAAAAGCCTTCTGCACAGTTATTTTGCAGCGGGGATTGTGTTAAAAACAAAGTTACATTATGGTTTCCAGGCTTGCTTCCTCGTTTTCTGTCATTTTCGGCCCCTTTCAGGCTGTCATCAGCATAGCACATCTAGGATTGCTTTGGCCCTTGCTCAGTGGATATGTGCCCTCTTTGAAGTTTTTACCTGATGGACCTGGGCTGCTGGCTTTATAAAAACAAGAGTTGTTTAAAGAGCTTTGTTTATGGAAACAAAGTTACTGAACTTGACAAACATTTTAAGATTATTTAAAAAAAAATCAATGTGGCAAAAAAGTATCTCTAGAATATCTCTTTTTCAAAATGCTAAATGTGTTAACAGAAGCCATTGATATCTAGATACAATGCCTTAATGTGCTTTAGTGTTTCCTTCCTTACATAAAAAAAAAAATCATTGAGAAAATGGGGATAGTTCCATGGGAAACAGTCTTTAAGTGCTTTCTTTTAATAACATTTTAGCATTAACTGCACAAAACTGTAAAGCTGTAGAAACACCTTCTTAGAGTTTTCCTTTATCATTTCAGAGGGTTATCATCAGGTTTTGACTGGTAGGTTAGTATTTCTTTTCATCAGTGTCAGATAATGTCTTCAGTAGTCAGACTTTTGGCTTGTGTGTATGTGTACATGGCCACGTGGGCACCTCAAGTATGGCTGGTCGGTACACATTCCTACTGATAACTCATAATGTGTTCGAATTAGTACACGTGGGCAATTCGGTAGGCTCCTACATTAGTCTATCTGGGAAGGGTGGTTAGGGAAATAAATATTTTGGGGGAGAGAATGAGAGACTGTTTGAGTCTTTTGGATTGTTCTTTAAGGCAGTGGAGTGGACTCCTGGACCATTTACCTGGATTTGAATTGCTTGTGATGGGGCTTGGAACCTTTACAGCTCAGTTGCTTGGATTGTCTCTACAGGCTGGAGGGTGCAGAGAGAATGGAGTGGAATAGAAAGCTGAACCTAGGGAGCTAGGAGCAGAGGGCATATTTGTAAGGGGCCAAGTGGTAGACTCCCTCTGCTTCCCCTCTGGGTTGGGTCTGGAGCTAAGAGCAGCAGCTGTGGTGGTATGCTGATGTTCGTTTGGAAAGAAAAGGTCGGGGAAGAACGAACATTTTTAGAAGATAAATGTTTCATTTCCAGAAGGTAGTCCACAAAGTGTAGGGACTGTTGTAGATGCTTTATGTTCTTTGTCTTGCTTAACCTACGGCATAATCCTGTGAGACCAGTTACTCAGTGGTTAGACAGCTGGCCCCTGAATGAGGCTATAGTGGTAAATGGGGGTGCAAGGATTTAACCCTGGTGTCTAGCACCAAAGCCCATTTCTTTCCAGTGTATCACTGTCATCTCTTTAGAGTGAACTCATAAAGGGGTTCATTCTTGGGGGAGGAATGCAGAGAATTCATAACCATTAAGGAAGTATTAGTAGTTGTCAGGATAATTGCTTAAGAACATGAATTAATTAAGAATTATTCTTTGTGGAATTTTTTTTAAAGATTTTATTTATTTATTTGAGAGAGAGAGTGCATGCATGCATGAGCTGTGGGGAGGGGCAGAGGGAGAGGGAGAAGCAGACTCCCCACTGAGCAGAGAGCCTGATGCAGGGCTTGATCCCAGGACCCCGAGATCATGACCTGAACTGAAGGCAGACGCTTAACCGACTGAGCCACCCAGATGCCCCTCTTTGTGGAATTTTTTTATGAGGGATTTTGTACCATACTCTTTAAAAAAGTTCATATTGATGACAAATGCTTTGGAAGCATTCTTTGGTTTACCTTGTGAATATTCAGTTTTTATATCAGATTTTGGTGGTGTTTCATGATTATGTACATAGAAAACATTAGCTTTCAAGTAATTTGCAGTTCTGTTATTGAGTCTTTGGACGGTGGCGTGACATGTGCGTGTGATAGGGATGTCACAGGTTTGCAGGTTTGTGAAGGGGGAATTAGAGAAGTTTGAAGGGTGTTTATGAAGACAGGAGTATCTAACATAAATGACCTTTATAGATGCCACCTTAAACTTTAAACTTTACAGGTAGGGCTGCCAAGCCTTTAGTCCTGAGTGTTCCTGATAGGTCCCTCCCTTCAGCAGGAAGCAAACAGGGTAAGTTAATATATAACTAGAGATTTCTCAAATGCTGAAAGAGACTAAATCAAGGTGTATAACAAAAAGTGCTCTTTTATTCTGTATGAGGTGTACTTTGGAAGTCCTCGTTTTCCCAAGTGATGACCTGCAAGCATAGGAATCCGACTGGAGAGGGTTTAGAGACATGCATGGATATGATGATTGTGTGCATAACAGATGATCATCCAATTGTGAATATTTGGGGTTTCTTTCTTTTCTGCAATTCATCCTTTGAGGTTTTCTTCATGGACAGACAACCCCTTCTTGTCTGGTGGAATAAACATGACTGATTCGGGGTTGTTTCTATCACCACATAGTGAAAGCTTCCTATGGGCCAGGCATTTTGTTGGGGACTGGGGAGGAGTCCTGGCTCATAAAGTACCGAGCTTCTAGGTGGTAGAGGGGGAGAGAAGACTATGGAGACAGGACACTTATGTGTTGTCCCCAGTTGGGAGCCTAGAAAAAGCTGTGTTGTTCTTTGGGATTTCGATCTCATGGGAAGGAGGCATATGAGATTCATGACTCAGTGGGCTTATACTGTGTGCTAGGCAAGTTTTCTAAACCTGCTCGTTTACTTAATTCTAACAACAGGCTTAGGAAGTAGATACGGTTATCTTCAGGTTCATGAACCTGCATTAGAGGCAGAGCTGGGATTGGAGCCAAGGTCCGTCTGACTGCAAAGCCTGTGTCCTTTATCACCATGTTGGCACTCTTTCTTCCCTTGAACCATGAGTGGGAGCATGGCTGCCTAGGAAAGCCCTAGATTTTCTTATGTATTCTGTTGTTAGGAAGTTGAAAGAAGGACTGGAAACAGGACAGTGGGAATCGAGAAGAAGTGAAAGAGAAATGAGAGAAAAAGGAACGGTGCTTAACTGTAATCGTAATCCAGTAATGGCCTCCGTGGCCTCCACGGTACTGCTGCCACGAAGTATAGAGTTGTTCTGGAACCTTCGAGTGACTGAGTTTACTGACTTTCAGCAAATCTTTCTGCCACTTCTTTTTTTCCCTTAAGAACTTCTGTTCTAACTTGATCGCTTCTGACTGTGTCATTAATTTATTAGTGTTGACAATTATGTGCTAATGTTGTCACTGTATCTGCCCTTCTACCTACTGGAAGTCCTTTATTTTCTCAGTGCCTGAGACCCCAGATGATGTCACTTGACTGGGGACGAGTTTAGCCTTTAGTTTCACCATTCAGCATGTATAGTACAGTAGAGGGAAGGGAAGGAAAGGAATGGTACCTATCTCAGAAGTCCTGTTATCACCATCTCCGGTTTATTTTTTATTTTTTAAAGATTTATTCATCTAAGGGGGGGGAAGGGTGTGGGGTAGAGGGTGAGGGAGAGAAAGAGAATCTCAAACAGACTCCACATTAGCA